CATTACAGTTTTGTTTTGCTATTTAAAGTATTTTTTAGGCATTTCTGTATTAGATTGTATTTTGTTGTGATGACAAATCGGAGAGGAAAAAAGGCTTAATGACTACTTGCAAAGAGTGAAATCTAATGGCTCTGATAACATTGCAAAAAATTCACTTTGTTTTTTTAAATAGAAACATGTTTTGCATGCTTAAATTCTATGAAATGTCAGCTACAGAGGGCAAATGTGAACTTAAGAGACCGTAACAGTCAAGAGATGGAAGTGTCAGACAAACATCCAACCCTAACAGAAACACCCGAACTGATTTGGGTTCGATGTCAAAGTTGAGATTCTGTGTTGGTGAAGGTTGACCAGATATTACAACATACTGTTGTGAGGACTGAACTGGGTACTTTTGCCTGAAGCCCCCCTGAGTCCTCTCTTTTGGCCTGATGTTTATGCCAGCTGTTAGCTCCCTCGCCCAGCGCACCTGACTGTGTGCTGACACTGCCAACCAGTCTTGTCAACGTCAGTGACGTACCACCACACTTATTCAACATGTTTAAACTGTCTTAAGCAGAGGCCAGCTGAAATCTTGAATGTTTGGCCTGGGTTCACAATCCAGGCTGTCTGGATATGAGAACACCAGGCTGCACCAGCAGCAGGCTCCAATTACTACACGGGATCATATTTAGCCAGGAAACAGAACCGGGACTACACTGGGTTACACAAGAGCGCTTGGTGTGTGTGTGTGTGTGTGTGTGTGTGTGTGTGTGTGTGTGTGTGTGTGTGTGTGTGTGTGTGTGTGTGTGTGTGTGTACGTACTTGCCATGTGTTCATGTACAGTGCTGATAGAAGCCTGTACAAAACCTGAAAAATGTGTTTGGTGTGAGATGGAGAGAAACCGAAAGAAAGAGTATGAGAGATGTCAAGGGTGTGTTTTTACTTCCAGTCAGGGAGTATTCGGGTGCATTCTTATTCTCGTAAATGTTTTCTAACTTTCTAACTCCCCCCCAAGCGTCCCAGGCATGCAGCTGAGCGTGTATGTTTCAAGTGTGCATGTTTATGTGTGTATTTGTGATTTTTGTGCATCACGACAGAGCGTAAGCATTTCCAGATGTGATGGGAATGGCGACAGGCCGAGAAGAATGAGGCAGCATTTTGATGGAACATAAAATTGTAACAGTTGACTCAGATAGGCTAGTATTTTGTATTAGTATACTTTTAGTACTACTTTTAATCAACTTAATACCAAAACTCTGCAGCCATGTCCTCGCCCTGAAATAGACTCGTAAATTAGGCTAGACTGGTAAAAATGTCGTCACTTTGTAGGGTTTTTCTTAACTTTCTGTTCTTTTTTGGAAAACACAAACACAGCAGTCACATAATGAAGGTGAAGGTGTGGGACTGTTACGCCTATTAACTTATATTTCTCATTGTAACTGTTACTTAGACATTCATGTGTATTTATGTGCTAATTGGTCCTTAACTGCTGGTCCAACGGTAGTAACACATCCTGATCAAATCATCAGGAATTGAGCTATTCCAGCACATTTATTTCTGCACAAAGACACACTCACACAATCACTCTTACACACACACATACAGAAATTGCTCATTTAGCTGGCCAGGCAGGGTGCACAGTGTCCCTCATCACAAGTATTAAAAGTCCATGCCTTGAGGACAGCTAGTTATGCCTGGAATGTCAGCTTACATCAATAAGAGTCAGAAACACACACACACACACACACACTTGAAAGAACATGCAGACACCGTCAAGCACTGCTGCACAACTATAGTTGGATACACACTCCTTTTATTGTGTGTGGTGTGTGTAACAGAACAGCATTGGATATGAGACATTCCTGTACTGTAGTACTGTTTTCCTGAGGCAGTAACAGGATATCCTCCCCCTCTGTACTGTCCTGCCTCCTGGACACACATACACACGCACATTCCTGCACATGCACGCACATACAATATATACAATAGGTCGAATGTAACAAGACAGTAGACCAAGTTTGTTTCTCACACAGTCGCTAATACCATTAACAGGCTGAAAGATCATTAGACTTATTGATGGGCAGAGTGTGAAGAAAACAAAGAAACTGGAGATGAAAGAAACATGGAGAGAAGATGACAGTAGTTTAAACGTTTCAGTAATTCTGCTCCATGTCAGTTGTAGTTTGGCTAACCAAAGAATTCCCGTTGCTGAAGTTAATCAGTTAAAGTTGATCAAGTAGTTTGCGGCTAACAGTGTGATTGTTTGTCCAGATGAGAAATTGCATTGATACTTAGTGAGCAGCGCAAGTGGTTATAACATTTGTGTCTGTTATTTCTCAAGCGCTATTTGCCTCCCAGAGATCAGCTGTCAGTCAACGGGCAATGATGTGTTCCTTCATCTGTTCTGTCTTTGTAGTGGTCGTTTGATAGGTCCACCACTTCCAGACCGAAATATCTCAACAACTATTGAATGGATTGCCATTCAGTTTTGTACAGACATTAATGGTGCCCAGATGATGAATCTTAATGACTTCCTCTGACTTTTAATCTAGCACTACCAGCAGGTCAAAGTTTTCACTAATCCTGTGAAACATCTCAACATCCACCAGATGGACTGGCACTTAAGCTTGTCCCCAAACCTGTCCTTTAGACCTACCATGAGGCTGCCAGATGTGCTTTTCAGTGAAATATAATAATAAAAAACAGCCGTTGGATGGATTGCCTTAAAACACATATTCATTTCCCTGTCAGAATGAATTGTATTGTGATCTCTCAACTTTTGATCAGTCAGTTTGTCCAGTACTTTGGTTCATGACAGTCAGCCTTGTCAGTACTTTGTGTTTATTGCTAATTAACAAATGTTAACATACTAACACACTAAACTAAGATGGTAAACACTGTAAACAGTACACCTGCTTGGCATAACATGATCATAGCATTGTCATAATTGTGAGCTTGCTGATATTAGCATTTAGCTCAAATCGCTAGAGTGCAGCCTCACAGAGCTGCTAACATACCTGTAGACCCTCAGTCATGTTACACTTCACCTCCCAGCCATCATCTATGTGTATTAATGTGAACCACAGTGACAAAGAGTAGTGAAATGGATGTTGTTTTACAGTAAAATCTCATAGATTTCAACATCACTAGTCTTGAATTGGAAATGTGAGGTATCCCCTTAAGATGTGTTTATTCTGATGTGTATATATATTTATCACACCCAGGAGGCAATATAAAATGAGGAATTCACATGTGACTGAGCCACATGGGTCACCAAAATGCCCTCAGAGAATGTTTTCTCTCAGGAGAAGCATAAGACATAAGGATAGGAGGGAGGAGGATAAGAGAAGGCTTTTTGAGGAGAGGCAGGGTGTTATAATCCCACATGTGACTTCACTGACCGCTGTGTTTTTTTACTCTAAAAGAGAGAAAGGAAAAGACACAAAATAAGAGCAGGATTCAGCAGAAGAAGGGACAGGAACCTAGAAACCGAAAGGTAGAGAAGAAAAAGAGAGATAAAGACAAAATATCTAGAATTAAGGCTAGGTGTCTTTCAGTTGATACAAAGTCTGACTGAAATCTGCCTCTGATTTCTTTAGATACATCTCCCGTGGATAGTTCACACCAGTAGAAGTGGCCATGAATATTGTTAAATGGCAGCCTGGTAGTGTGTCTCAGTCTTAAAGTGTAAGAGAGGGTAAAAAGCAAACACTTCCTCCTTATAGCTGTGTGTGCTTTAACTGAACAGTGAACCAATTCACTCAAGTGATCCTCATTAAACCACCAAACACACACACACATACTCTTACATGTTACCAAGACAGGGGTCAACAACCCCTCATGGAAGTAAACGCATCCTTAGAATAGAGGTGTAAGGGGTGCAAGGCAGTAAAACGGAAAGCCAATAGAGTATTTGTTAGTAGCCTGTGTAGAAACAGGGAGGTCAGTGTAGACAGGAGTGTGTAAATGTTGCTACTTGCTAACGGTGGGTCTGGAATGTGTCAGATGGGTGGTTCTCAAAAACAAGAGGTCGCGGGTTTGATCCCTGCATGCCAATGTGTCTACCAATGTGTCCTTTAACCAGATACCTCAACCTTGTGAGATCTCTACCACAATTGATAAGTGAATTAATGTGGCTGTAAAGCATGAGTTACAAGTTTATACTAGTTTAGAAAATGATAAATTTACAGTATATTATAAAGTCAGAGTTTGGTTCTCAGATAAAATTAGCAAAAAGTCACAAAAGAAGGATGATTAATGTAACATTACAGTATTGCGTTAGCTGATGATTACTGCTTCATAAGGGATTAACATAATTTTCAGTGATGATATAATAATTGCATTGAGTAACTGTGTGTTACTCGTCAATATTGCAGTTACATCACTGCTCCCCTTTTATGAACTGACTGTGTGTGTTCATAATGTGTGCGGTTTATTACAGTAAGTTGACAGATTTAATTACATTTGGACGCCATTTGGAGGGACAATCGATTACACGTATTTCATTGTCTAGCAGTTATACAACTCAGCAGGGACTCTCCAAAAACTTTCAAATAAATTGTCTGCCATCCCACCTGCCAGTTTTGCTGTTGTCTAATAGGGTACAAGAAGAGATGTGAGGCAGGAAGAGTGACTGGAGAGTGAATTATTTATTAAGTATTCAGCATACTGATTCATTCACAGAACTGTGAAGGTCTTTAAACAAAAGTTTTCAGCACTATGGAAGGTTGTCACTATGTTTCAGGTCTTTCATAAAGCATCAGCGTTGGAGTTGGCTCCCCCCAGCGGTGGGAACCAGTCAGCACACACTCATGCTGCTGCAGAGGTTTAACTTAACACACTGTACTACTGCAGTGCAGACAGGCAGATTTATGTGTGGGATTTGTGTCTTTACGAGGTGTGTCTCACCTCTCTGAGAAAAAATCTAGTAAGTAAAACAGGTGAACTTAAAAGTCCTGTTTTTATTTAAGTGATTGTGAGACAGTGTACAGCTTCTCCATCCGTGTTTTTTGATATAGAAATCGTGGCGGGCAGCCGAGGATGTCAGTGACACAATACCAAGAGAGCGAGCCCTAAAGAGTGTCAGTTTCCAGGAATCGGTCAGCGTTATCACTGACAGGCCTGCAACCATGGAACTGGAGAGCCAGCAAATCCAACATGGCTGCCTCAGCAGCCCCAGTAACCGAGCCCATAATTCTGTTGGTGTGAAAGTAGAGACTCCAGACAGCGAGGTGGTGCAGGTATGCAAGTTCAGTTTCTTGTTTTATTTCCTGGAGTGGAGCAGGTATCAACACCAAAACATATTAATTTTGGGCAGAGCTGGAATTTTACTGGTTTTGTCGCACTTTATTACACAGGGGATGGTTTTGAATTTCTTAATTAAAGTTTAATAAATATAAATAAGTTTGCTCTTAAGTAACTGTTCTTTTTTTTTTCTTGTCTTTTCAGCAATCTGAGCAATTTTAGCCAAAATAGAGAGGAGTTTCCTCTGCTACAGCTACAGCTGCTACATTTGGCACCATTTCCATCAAGTTACATTTACATAGCTTTCTTTTGGTATATTAGAAATATAATTGTGGTGAAAAGAAAATAACTAATGACTAAAAAAAAGAAATGTTTATTGAATTACATGTAAAATGTAAACTTAGTGTGGTAGTGTCTCCTTCTGCATTTATTGCCAACCACTGTTTTTTTTTATTTTAAATATATATTTTTTTTATTATCTGTTATGTCCACAGGAGATCCGCTACTTGGACCAGGTTTTAGATGCCGCCTCAGAAACACCCACCAACGGAAATTCTTCTCCATCAGAACACACCAAGCCAATCTGCATCGACGGAAACACTCCTTCTGACTGCGTGTTAGCCTCCTCTCCTGTCAATTGCCAATCAGTTGTTGTGGAGGGGCAGAGACAAACCACGTTCTTCCACCAGGAGGACTCTGCCGTGACAACCAACGGGCACGTGCAGGGAGAGGAGTCGGCGCCCAGCGGGGCAAAGTTTGAGCTGAGAGCGTTTCAGGAGGAGAGACGGCCAGCGAAACTCTTCTCCACCGGAGAGGGGCAGCAGGTCAGGGTGACAAGGAGACGACCCACAGAGGAGGTAAGATAATGTACCCGATGTAATACAGAGACAGTAACAGTGCAAGAACATAGGCCTAATGGTATTTTTGAGTATGTGTTTATAATGTAAGCAAGCATAAAATAAAGCTAGGGTAGGCAATTTTGGAGGAACTTGCAAGAGAAAGCTACATTTTAAAAGTATCAAACCAATAAAAAATGTATTTACTTAATTTAATTCTATATATCAATGATATATAATTGATTAATAATCATCTACATTAATCTGAATTTAACCAATGCCAACAGAAGTGTGGCAAGTGCCATCCGAAATATAACATTTACAATTAGCTGATGCTTTTTTCCAAAGCGACTTACAATTGCTATACATGTAAGAGGTCGCGCCTCTGGAGCAACTATGGGTTAAGTGTCTTGCTCAGGGACACAATGGTGGATGGGTCACAGTGGGGGATTGAACTGTCTCACACCAAAGGCAGGTGTCTTATCCGTTGCTCCATCACCACCATATGATGCTCTTCCAGCGATAACCCTCAATATTTCTCTTTATGGAAATGTGTCTAACCTTAACATTAAACCCAATGTACTTATTTACGCAATTTCATAAAAACATACTGAGGATATATCAACACGCAAAGGACGTACAAACCATGATAACGGAAATGCTAACCCCCATCCTTCAAAATAATCGTTTGACTTCGATACATATGAATTCTTCCAAAATGTATAATGCTATGTTCATATTGTAGTGCAACAAAAACACACTACTACATTAATATATAGCCTTGCCAACAGAAGCCAACTTTGTGTTGCTGCTGAGTCACTGTGATAGCTCATTTTATATTGTAATATAACACTACATGCGTTCTTCTTACTAGCCCAATGATAACAAAATTAAGGTTAATTACATTAATTCATTTAGCTAACGCGTTTATCCAAAGCAACTTACAATTGCTATATATGTCACAGGTTGCCCTGATGCCATAGTGAACCCAACCGAACCGAACCAGTTAACTTTAGCAAGATTCGAATGTCTTGTGGATGATAACGTGCTGCATTTCAAAAAAGGCGCACTTTGACAGGAAGTGCTTTTCAATTAAAATTTGCCTGATTATATTCATTTGAATTCACTCAATATTCTCTCTATTTGGGATTAGATAAATAGAATGCTTATGTTTTATTTAACTACAATGGGTGGATTTTATTCCAAACATTTTTATTTGAAATTTAATTAAATATTTGCCTCAAAATCAAAAACACAATCATATTGAATATATTTTACCTAATACATTAATTCAAATCTGTATGACCACAGAATAATTTCTTACAGTGCAGACACTGGATTTCTTTTCATTGTTGTGTCAGAGCATTTGATATATTGACTGCTGTCGGGACATAAAGGGAATTTCAACAAATATAACAAAAATTGCTTCTGAAACAAATACTGACCTTAGCTTTAACATTTATTTAAATGAGCCCCTTTAAAGTCAATCACCTAAATTATGACACGCTTAAAACTCAAATGTTAAGCTTCAAATAAATGATTACTGCAGCAGTTTTGTATATTCTTTCATGGTAAGCAAAATAAGACTTAAGAAAAATGTATATAAAAATGTGAAGGCTTTTTCTCTGAGAAGGTTTTGAGAATTCAGCCAAAGCATTTCTACACAGGTCTGAGAAACAGGAAAATGTGTGGAAAGAGAGTTAGGTCAGTCCCAGAGTGTTGAGTGAGAAAATCACAAAAAGATATTTTTAAGGGACATGTTTGTACTTTTTTCATCTTCAGTGTTATATGAGTTACCACAAGTTACAGTGAACTTGCCACAACACATTTCACATCAAATTATTGATGAGATCAGAGATTTTGAAATTGAAAGTGTGTCGTAATTAAACCCTGAGCAACTCAAGCACATGATGCGACAGTACTTCGAAAAAGGTCAGTTGTGGTTCACATTTTGAAGTCATTTTGAAATTCCTTAGAAAATGAGGTCCTTTTCAGTCAAGTAAAACTGTTTATGATCCTCCTTTAGAGTAGTTGGGTATTAACTTAATCGAAGAGAAATACATCTGGTTGGTGAGGCAGTGGAAAGCATTTATTAACAGGGACTGGTATGCAGGGGCAAAATGACCTCAAACACTAGAAATGCAACTTTTCTCTATCAAATTGTCAACTAATGTGTCATAAAAAGCAAAAGCCAATAGAAAATTACTCGGTATGCTCTTTGTGCATTCATATTTTGTGAATTCATATTCTGTTCTTCTTCTCCTGGTTTGTTTCCCCTGTCAGGTTGAGGAGCTGGAGCGTGAGCGTCAGGAGCTGATCAAAGACCAGGCAGTGAAGAAGAATCCTGGCATCGCCCAGCGTTGGTGGAACCCTCCTCAGGAGGTAGCCTCCCATGAAATCTTTGTTTTCAGTTTCAGTCAACTACGTCAACTTCCCAACAAACTGACAGATTTGTTCATTCATTCATTCATTCAAGGTGCCTTTGGAAGAACAGCTGGACGCAGAGCAGCTTGAATCTCTCAAGAAATACCAGGAGAGGAAACAGCAGAGACAGACTCCTACTTATACATATACACAGGTAACACACAAACCCACAAAGGCAACATACCAATCTGAGGCAATGCAGATGAGTGGTTGTATGTCAGATATGTTTGACAGCCATGCTCATATTCAGCAGTTAGGACAGCATACTTGACCATGTTTTTGGAACAAAAGGAGACCAAAATTGTACTAGTGCAGGAAATGAAGGTGTTTGATTACAGCAGTCAACCAATATTTTAAATTTCACGTGGGGGTGATTCTTGTTACATTTCTATCTCACCTTTTGTTTTCTCCTTTCTTTTCTTTTATTCTCCCATCTCTATTTGCAGCCCCAGCTGTCAGGTCCTCCCACAGTGGTGACCTTTGACCCGGAGCTAAACAGGAAAGTGGACATTGTGGAGGAGCAGATCGACTTCTCGTCTGCCAGGAAGCAATTTCTGCAAGGGGACACAACCAAGAGGGACGTCGCTCCTCAAATATATTCCGCCAAACCCTTTTCAAAATCCATAACCAGGGGCAGCCAGGGGAGCGGGGACATTACTGCAGAAACCGGAGAGGGTCACGTGACCTGGTCTGATGAAGGAATTGCGGGAGAATTTACTTGTGCACGAGCTGTAATGACAATACTGCGTGAGGAGGAGGAAGGGAAGAGCCATTTCCATCCAGCTTTTCACCCGGAGGAGTCTGACTCAGGATTAGACGACTTATCTGTCCGTTCTCAGGACACTACTGTGTTGAGCTTGGATAATGTTTCTGATAGCGGGGCTTCGCTACCACCTACCCCGTTGCCACTTACTCCGGTGTCACCACCTACTCCCCAGCCCACCATGCCAGTTAATGGCCAGAGCAGTGGTAGTCCAATAGAAGACGAGTTGGAGTACCATGCGGGGGTACTTGTCCAAAATGCCATCCAAAATGCCCTGGCAGCTCAGAATAGAGGGGAGTGGCAGCCATCTGATTTGAATTCTTCACAACTGAGCACCCCTGTGTCTCCATCCTCAGCTTCTTCAAGTAGCCCAGTGCCAGTGTCTTCTTCTCCTGTGTCTTCTGGTGGAGCTCCCAGTCTCCAGTCACCTCTGTCCTCCAGTCCTGCTCCATCTAACCTGTCCTCTCAGCCAGACAGACACCCAGAGGTAAGAGTTGTTTACCAAGAGCAGCCTTCAGAACCACAACAGGCTCCACAGCAGCACCAGCAGCAGCCCTCCAGTCCAGAGTTCCAGACGCCTTCTCTGCCTCCTTCTCAGCCCATCTCACCACCACAGAGACCCAAAGATGGAGGCCCCAGGATCAAAATCCAGTCCTCTTACACCAGAGCGCTCGCTTCCTCAGCCCCGGCTCCAGCTCCAGCTCCCGGCCCTGCCGCAGCAGCTCCAGTTACCAGACCAACCCCGGTCTACCGCCCCCCTTCCCCTCCAAGCCCAGAGAAACCAGAGTTCAGCTACTTCAGTAAATACTCAGAGGCGGCTGAGTTGCGCAGCACAGCAGCAGCAGCACGAGCCCCCGAAGTCGAACCTGCCAGCGGCCCGTTCCGCCTGCGCTCCAAGAAGCAGCGGACTTTGTCAATGATCGAAGAGGAGATCCGAGCAGCTCAGCAGAGGGAGGAGGAGCTGAAGAAACAGAGGGAGACACAGCCTGTTGTTATTGTCCGCCACAGCAACGCTTCCGGCAGCAGTCACGGTAACATGAGGACAGGGTTGCGGCAAACCACCATTTCACCGGCAGATAAGATGAAGAGCAACAGCCTGCCAGCTAGACTCACGCTGACAGCGAGAACCGCACCAGGTTAGTAATATAAAGCTTCACATGGGTGTTTCTCATTAGTCCATGTATATGACACCTGGTACAATGGCTCTGTTCCATTTAAATGTGCCAATAACATGTAAGCCATAATCCAGAATTTAAAATAGCAGACTAGAAGTTAAAAACCTCTATATAACTTGTGTCCATGCGTTTTTCTGTGACGTGCAGGAAAGATCGAGAAGGTCCGACCTGCCCCGCCTGTCTCACCCTCACCCTCAGAAGGAGCCCTGTCTGACGCCGGCAGCGAGGACTCTGGAGGATCACGCCCCAAAAACTTCATGCAGACGCTTATGGAAGACTATGAATCACACAAGGTGAAGAGGAGGGAGAAGCTGGAGGACAATAGCGTAAGTATTTCAACCATCCCACGTATAAACTCTATGTGTCTATACAAAAACAACAGGAACTCTGAGATCCAAAGTTGTGCCTTAGCATTAGACAACTGCAGAAACAAAACATGGGTTTGCAGGGATATTACTTTTAGTGGCCAGCAGCTAGTGTAACTCATTTGTTTATTGGTTGGTGCTAAAAAATGAAACTGAAAATGAACCTGTAAAATACTTTCACATGCAGATGTTCTCATTGACCACACAGAACATGCAACAAAGATGCCAAAAACTATCCCAGTGAGTGAAAGTAGCACAAAGGTCATCATCACACATGATGCGCTCATGTCAACATGGCTGAATTCTTCCATCCATGACCTGTGGGCATGAGCAAATACTGTGCAGCACCAAAGGGAATTTCCCAGCCTGGTGGAGGAAATGAAACTAAAAGTGAGGCACAGACGCTGGGGGATTTCTGCCCTGACTTATTTTGTGTATCTGAATCTGTCTTTTTATGCCAGACTCCTTCTGCAAATAATATAAAAAAAATTAATATAATCAATAATATTAAAAAGAGTGCAGTCTAGACCTGCTCTGTATATGTGCCCTGTTGTGATTTGACGGTATTAAGACATGAGTTGTTTTCAAAAATCACAAGTGCACTCACTTTAACATTCACATACAAGAAGAGATACACATTACATTACAGCCATTAGCAACAGAAACAGAACAGAAACAGAAATAGAAAGTTTGACGTTTGACATCATTTATAGCATTTTTCAAGATATTTACCTGAATTTATCTCGAACATGCAGCAGGGTCAACTGATGTTGTTGCTGATCTTGTTATTGTTTATCCATGATGACATCACATGTGTTGACTATGTGTACTGTTGCTTCCCTCCTGCTGGTCGGTCAGTATGCCCGTTTGTTGCTGGCTAACGAGGTAACCACCGAGGTACCTGTCACACCCCAAACCCGTTCACTCCATTAATTGCCTTTACTGACAGACCTGGGTCAGACAGAGAAAACTGTCAGACAAAGTAATACATTCCTGTTGTATATGTGGACTGTTTCTGTAAAGGTTGAAAGAGTGACTTGCATCCCGTTATAGTTTTATAAATTTAGACAAACCCTGGGTCCCACCAGTAGAAAAATACATTGCATATATGTGTAGCACACTGAAGGAACTGCTTGTTCACGGCGATCTGGAGGAGAGTAGAAAGCAATTTGTATTCATGAGGGTTATTTTAGTTCAGCTACGAAAGAAGAGAAGGTTGCCATGTCACAAGAGTGGAGATTTCCACTTTCTCATCTTGCAGTGCCAGCCCCACGTGAAAGGCTTAGCCCTTATAGCTGCGTGGTTTAATTCCAGCCCGCGGCCCCTTACAGCATGTTGTCCATTCTCTCTTACTCATTTCCTACTTCTCTGCCCTATCAAAAAAACTAAAAGTGGTGGTTGAGTCAGTAGTAGCAAACTACGTCACTTCACTCAGTCTCCCAGAAATGAAACCAGTCCAGAAAATATGGACAGGGATGTATTATTTAGTTTGAAACACTAGACAGGGTGGTTTCTGTGAAACGTTTTATATCTGGTCCCAGGTCTGCATGTATCTTAATGTTTTGCTCTGTTGGTGCTGCATGTGCTTATCCACGGATGTTGTTGTGACCCTTATTACCCCCCCCCCCCCCCCCCCCCCCCATGCACCATCACCAAAACATACTGTGTACTGTACAGTGTATTTAAAGATATTAGAGTATATATATAATGGTAATAGACAGTATGCAACACACTTGGCATGTTTCATTCAAAGAAGTATGCAACTGTTGAATGAGATGTGCGCGGTGGATGATCATCGACTGGAGGTCACAGTGAATGTCGTGAAAAACATTTATTCAGTACCGTGGCCTCTACGTCAGACCAAAATAAAAGCACCTCTACGCACAATCCATTTCACCTGCACCCTGGGTTCTTGTTCACAAAGAAATCTTTCATGTGTGTGATGTAAGATGTGCTTACGTGTTTGTGTGTGTGTGTGTGTGAGAACATCAAAAATGAAACAAAACAGTGTTTAAGCATGAAACTTTCCCTGAAATGGACAAAAAAAAAATTTTTTGTCAAATACTGCAGGTGTGCATCATATAGTGGTTTGATAGGTACAACATGAGGTCATTAGTTGCGAAACCTTCACTGTAGGAAGGTGTAACCAAGCGCTCACTCAGTTTTTGACAAACGCTGCATGCCATAAAGTCACTGTGGTGGGTTTTCTTTTTGTGATTGTGTTGCCATTATTTCCTTTGAAATGGGGAGAAGTATGGATTTGATCGGTTTGATCAGTTAGTTGGCTCGTGCTCACTATTACACTGCTCTGAGTGTGCGTGCATCTGATGGATTGTTTTGTTATCGGCAGGTTCTGGAGGCCACTCGTGTCACCAGGAGGAAAAGCGACATGGCGCGGAAGTGGGAAGCCGGTATCTACGCCAATGAGGAAGGAGAGGAAGAGGAGGAGGAAGAAGAAGAGGAGGAGGAGGAGGAGGAGGAGGAGGAGGAGGAGTAAACTGCTCCTTTCAGAGGCAGTTAAGAGGATGAAGGAGGAGGATGAAGAGACTGAAGGAAAAATGCAAACAGGAGGAGGAGAAGGCGAAGGATAATGGACAGGGAAAGGAAACAGTATTTATTTTACTAATAGTATTCTGATGATCACATGACCCACTGGCTTAACCAATGGGGCTCATCGAGGAGATGCATCAAGTTTGTGGTTGTTGGACCTGAGGATTGAAGGCGCATCAGTATGTTGAGTGACTGAGTATGTGAGAGACATTTGAAGTTTAGAGGTTCAGTTTGGAGAGAAAAAAAGGTCAGTGACGCAAGAGACACTCTGAAAGGGTTTCATGGAGGTTTCAGAGCGCTGCTCAGAAGTTTCTTTGGGATAAAAAAGTTTTTTTTAGTTGGTTAGACGCTGAATGATTTACATTTATAAGATTTTTTTTTCATTTACCTGTAATTTCATTATTGAAATATGGTCTGAGATCTAAAGATTTTATTTTGACAGGTTGCCTGAGACTTGTTGATGAGGGTTTTGGCAACGAGAGCTTAATAATAACCCCAATCATTTTCCAAGTGTGTGGACTAGCTTTTCATTACCGACAGGAGAGAGAAAAAAAGATGCAAACAACAAGCAGGTGTGTGCAGAGTGACTATCAAGAAACTTCTGACTGAAACCTTGCACACTCACACATCATTTCTGTTATTTGAAAATTATTTTTTACCTGGATTTGATGACACCGCGAGAAGGGCGCATTGTTTTCCAGAAACTGAACTAATCCTTTCAAGCACCTGTATTAAAATCTTAAGTGCCCATTTGAGTGTCAGCGTCCCTGAGCTGTTGAATGCTAGCGAGGAAACGCGCAAAACTAGCATCCGAGTTCAACTTTGCCTTAGACCGCCAGTAATTGTTGGATGCACGATATGTATGATGTATTTTATCTTCTATTCTTAATACTAAAGGTTCAGTATACCTTAAAGAAAATACGCAACCGCATTAGATAGAAAGTCTGTCTATAAAACCCTACTCTCCAGTGACTTCATGTCTATTAAACTCAAACAGGAGGTGACAGACGGGGTAGAGGGAAGCTAACTGCGGGTCATGTTTGCATCAGTGTATGTGTGTGTTAATTAAAAGGGCTGGGTCTGAGGTTTTATATTCTAAAAATCACTTATTTTATCTTTGCTGGCTACGTCGCTTTGTTGACCTGTGCTTTCTGATGTAAGCAGTTGTTTCATGTATTATACTGAGGTAGGACTGTGTGTTTGATATATGAACATGTATGTTGAGATTCCAGCGGAGCAACCGCCTTGTGTCTACTTAACCTTGGTAGCTGAGGATAAAGTTTGATGAAAACTATTGGGAAAGCTTTTTCTAAGATGTTGTTATACCAAAACAGAATGTTGTTGTTTAGTCAGCCCTACGCCCTTAAGTATCTTTAAGATGTTTTGATTGTGTGCATGAAATTACACTCATTTCCTAACCTGAAACAAGCACACAGCAGGTAGAGAAAAGAATGCAATTGACTATCAGTAGAAAGATATATTAATAAGTCATTTGTGAGTTGGGGTTGTCAATTTTTGTTGTTTGTTTTACCAAATGTATTGTGAGCTTTGATATTGCAGGACACTCTGAACAAAAAAATGCAGGCCTCTAATAAGTGTGGTGAAACTGTGGATTGTCCGGGTGTAGAGATCAAGCTTCAGCGAAAATGAAAGCAGTACACACATTGAAACACAGACGACAGAAAGAGAACGTGGGATAGAAATGTGTCAACGTGGCTTTAGAAACAGTCTTTTTGAACCACTTTAACTGAAAAGTAGCAAAATGATTCTACTTCTCTCTCTTTGTTCGCTTGTTCGTTGAAGCCTATAGATTTTTTTTTTTTAGCATTAGGACGCCAGGAGGACAGTGAGAAAATATTTCCCTGCAAACCACAGGTCACAGTTTTGACCACCGCCGTCTGCTAGCGTGGCCTGTTCAAGTGTCCTTCAGCGAGGCACTGACTGAAATCCTCAGCTAAATGCCTGAAATATAAATGTACACTGAGGTAAAATTGCACAAAATATAAAGAACTGTGGCGCACATACTTGCCCTATTATATTTATTGGGACAGTCCCGTCCTGAGCGCAGGACAGGCTTCTCTTAGCGGCTCATCGCTGTCTTGTGCTCTCAGGGAAACGCAGTGCCACCAACTCCATCAACCAGAAGTGAAAACCAAGCACTCGTGCCTGTGTGTGGTGTTCATTTCCCCCTGAAGCAAAGACAACACACATTGATTCCAGAGAAATCTCCTTGTTCTTGTTTTGATACACATGTAATAATATATAAAATGGATAAAACAAATTATTTAAAGGACTACTAGTGCTGCAGAAATGTAAAACAAGTGTGTCACTGATGCTGATATGAGATTCATTTTGCCACAAGAGTTAAAGGACAAACGAAAACAGCCAGTTGGGCTGCACACACACACCGTCCTTATTTCAGTTTCAAAAGATCAATCCAACAATCCAACCCCAAAATAATTTAGTTCTCCTTAAAAACACAACGCTTTTTTGAAATGGTTACAGACATCAAGCCCATTCAGAGGAGTTATATTGTGTGATTTATTATTATTATTATTATTATTATTATGCTTTTGTTGTTTGAATTCGTGGTGCAGAGATGATTTATTTATCATTTTTAAACGCTGGTAGCTTGTTTTCGCCTGCAGAAGCGCCCGAGCTTCAGTGTGGGACTTGCGCTGTCTGTGTGTGATAAAGCAACATGTTATTCTACAGTATAACCTCTGTTCCTATGTTAACCACTTGTATGCTCATAGCTCTGCTTTGTTATTTTATAGCACATGTAAGGCTCACAGTTATACACCTGCTATACATATTCTGAATATTTTCTCATTAAAAACAAAAACTGTAAGTGTGGGATTCCTGAGTGCTTTATCATGCATGTTACTACTTTTCATTCAGACATGATGTACCAGTGGTTTGGCGGTTTTAACACACTCCGTTTTGTTGTTTGCAACTGTTCTGAGAGTACCTTGTGGTCAGTGTTTTTCAGCAGCTAGATGGAGAGATGGATTATCTGTCTCATACCAGCTCCAAGTTGAGTTTCATTGTATTCTGACATGAACTGAAACCAGCGGCTGCAGAGAGGGCTGGACATCAGCCTAAAACATTTTACTAAACTCATACATGTAAAAATGTGGTTTTTGTCTGATACCACAGAGGCCAGGGCTTATAACATCATTCTGATCAGATGTTTTACTTCTCCTTTTGTGTCATTGTTCTCTTCAGCAAAGTGTTTTAACCATTGGAGACCAGCAAAAACAGATGTCTGTCTTTAATGCCAGACATCACAGTCTAAAAGGAGGATTTTGCTTCAATCTGTCAATTTTCAGATTTCAAGGTTTTCTACAACTATTATCACCATACTTTCATAAAATGTACAAAACAATCTTGAATAACAAATATAAACATGTCTATCTAAAATGTCTGTCAACTGCATATCGCTTAAATATCATCTTCATTAGTGTTTTACATGTACAGTCCCCTCCAAAAGTATTGGAACGGTAAGGCAAATTCCCTTGTTTTTGTTGTTCACTGAAGACATTTGGGTTTAAGATCAAAAGATGAGTATGAGACAAGAGTTCTGAATTAATTCTGCTGCTACTGTCATCAGTTACATCATCAATAAATATTAATGAGCCTGTTCCAAAAGCAGCCATGCACGCCCAAGCCATGACATTACCTCCATCATGCTCCACAGATTAGCTTGTATGCAAGTCTGGCGTTCTGATTCTTCCTGCTGATGAGTGGTTTGCATCTTGTGGTGTGGCCTCTATATTTCTGCTCTCTGAGTCTTCTTCGAACAGTGGATTGTGATACCTTCACCCTGCACTGTGGAGGTCGTTGGTGATGTCACTTACTGATGTTTTGGGGTTTTCATCACAGCTCTCACGATATTTCTGTCATCAACTACTGTTGTTTTCCTTGGCTGACCTGTTGGACATCTGTTGCTCAGTACACCAGTAGTTTCTTTCTTTTTCAGGACATTCCAAATTGTTGTGCTTGCTATGCCCAACGTTTGTCTGATGGCTCTGGTCGATTTTCCTTCTTTTCTCAGCTTGAAAATGGCTTGCTTTTCTCCCATAGACAGCTCTCTGGTCTTCATGTTGGTTTATCCTCTTTAACAGGAAATGCAGTATTTACAGGTTTGAACCAAGCATGAAAACTTAGACTAGTCATGCAGAGCTATTTAATGTTCGGACAATCAACCTAAAAGGCAACACCTGGGCAACAAGAAACATCTGTAAGTCACATGTTCCAATAGTTTTGCTCACTTGAAAAATGGGTGGGTTCACACAAAGGGTGGTATGTTCTGAGTTGTTTAATAAAAGTGGAAATTCAGAACTCTTGTCTCATACTCATCTTTTGATCTTAAACCCAAATGTCTTCAGTGAACAACAAAAACAAAGGAATTTGCCTTACCGTTCCAATACTTTTAGAGGGGACTGTATGTTCTATTGCTGAAGTTAGTAAATAAGATGTTTTATGTTTCTTAGTTCATATATATAATATCTATGAGAAATGTGTTCATGTGACAAACAGTAATTTTTATGCTAAGTATATTGTTATTGCCTTAACTAATATTTAACAGCTGTTTTCTCAGAATGACATGTTTCCTGTAGGCAGTCATTTTCCTCGCCCTTCAAGGCAGTTAGATCATCATAATTTTACACACTATTTCTTAGGTCTAATAGCAAGACCTGTACAGAGGTTTAAATATATTTTATCATTCTCATTTTATGTGGCTTTTAAAAAAATAAATTTGTGGGGGAAAAGGGTCCCTCACACATGTGAGCGGTAGGCAGTTCCCCTTCGAGGGAACTCGAACTGCGTCGGTTATGACACTATGGGAACGCCTCTAGGCGTAGCAGGTCTGAACGTGAATGAAATCACTCCAATCCTATTGGCTTGTTGCTAGAACGGTAAGGTGTGACGGAATAACCGGAGGAGTATAAAGCACACCTGTACACACTCATCATTAGCTTTTTTCTATTCAGCAGGCGCTCTGTATGTTGTTTGAAGAAAGCTCCAGTCCTACAAGCAGTGTGTCTTACCTGAAGAAGAAGTCTACCAGCATGTCCAGCAACCAGATGTACAGATTTTTTATTGCCCTCGGTACATCGCGGATGGAGATTCTCATGAGATGTGTGTCTCATGTTTGGGGATGGAGCACGCCCGGGCAGCTCTTGAGGGGGCTGCCTGCGCCCGTTGCGAAGCCCTTTCCGTGCGGGTACTGAAGTACAGCATGGCTCTCTTTTCCGAGGATGGCCGGATGTGTTCTCCCCGTGGCGTGGGCCCTGCGGCCGCTGAGGCTGGGGTTCACAGCGATGTCGGAGGATTTCGGGACGGCTGAGGCTTTTTCCTGACCTTCATCCGCTGGCTCCAACGCTTCCTTTCCTCGTTCGGGAGCCCGTTCTCAGCTTGTCCCGTTCGCGGTTTGGATCCGGAGACGCTGCAGCAACGTGCTCAGCGTAGTGGACGATGACTTCCGGGTGTCGGGGCGGGTGTCGGGGTGGCGTCATCAGACTGGCTCATCCTAGCCCAGTCTCGAGAGTTGGCATTGAGATGTCGTTCTGGCTCATCTGCGGCGTTTAGGGCTGAGGCTCAACGCAAAGAAGAGTGTGCTGGCGCCCACCCAACGGACTACATTCCTAGGGGTAGTATGGGATTCGACAACGATGCGGGCACAATTGTCTCCGGCACGTGTCGACACCATATTGGCTGCCGTGAAAAGGGTGAAGTTAGGCCACGCCATCACTATAAAACACTTTCAACGAGTGTTGGGTCTCCTGGCGGCTGTGTCCAGCGTAATACCATCTGGACTGCTGCACATGAGACCCCTGCAGTGGTGGCTAAGGACCAAGGGTTTTTCCCCGAGGGGAAATCCTCCAAGTGTATTCGTTCCCTCTCAGTTTGGAAGGAAACTTGGTTCCTGTCCCAGGGGCCCGTGCTGGGAGGGTCTTGTCGCCGGCTGGTCATTTCGACAGACGCCTCCCTCACGGGCTGGGGCGCGGTCATGGACTGCCGCTTTGCAAGGGGATCCTGGCAGGTGCATCAATCCGAGTGGCATATCAACTGTCTCAAGATGTTGGCGGTGTTCCAGGCTCTAAGGAGTTTCCTGCCCGATCTCCAAGGCCACCACTTCCTGGTTCGTTCCGACAACACAGCGGTGGTGGCCTATCTGAATCACCAGGGCGGTCTGCGCTCAGGGCGATGTAACTCCCGGGGATGCAGAATCAGGGAGCAGACCTGCTGTCGAGACAGGGGCTGAGGCCCGGGGAATGGAGACTTCACCCCGAAGTGGTGGAGCTCTTGTGCGAAGAGTTCGGCCCCAGATCCACGTGGATCTGTTTGCGTCTCAAGAGACTACGCACTGCCCGCTATGGTTTTCTCTCGTTCCTCCAGCCCCGTTGGGTCTGGACGCCATGGTACATTCGTGGCCGAGGCTACGTCTGTACACTTTTCCCCCAGTCGCTCTGGAGCGGGTCCGCCAGGACAATGTCGGCCTACTGCTCGCAGCCCCGTTCTGGCCAACCCGGGTGTGGTTCTCGGACATCATGATCGCTCCTGGACGGCCTACCGTGGCGGGTCCCTCTGAGGAGAGACCTGCTGTCCCAGGCGCAGGGCCGGGTTCTTCACCCTTGCCCCGCCATATGGCGACTGTGGGTCTGGCCCCTGAGGGGGCACAGTACCTAGAGGCGGGTCTAACAGCCGGAGCAGTCGAGACCCTCCTCAGCTCCAGGGCCCCGTCCACACGGATCCTCCGTGGTGCCCGGAGGATGAGACCTGCGACTCGGTCCAATGTTCCCACTTGGGATCTGGCGGTGGTTCTTGGGGCGTTGGCTGAGGCCCCCTTCGAACCCCTGGAGTCAGCTGAGGCTAAGCACTTGACCCACAAGATGGCCTTTCTCCTTGCTATCACCTCTCTGAGGAGGGTGGGGGATCTCCAAGCGCTTTCGGTTTCTCCGCAAGCCTGGAGTTTGCCCCGGGGAATATTAGGGCTATCCTGCACCCTCGTCCAGGATACATCCCTAAAGTGCCTTCTTGTGCGGCAGGGTCCACAGTGCTGCAGGCATTTCATCCTCCACCACATGTGACGGCGGAGGACGGGAGACTTCATCTGCTCTTCCCTGTCAGAGCACTGAGTGTTACACTCTGAGGTCCTCCCGTTGGAGGAAGGCTGACCAGCTGCTAGTGTGTTTTGGGTCCCCCGGGGCTGGGCTCCCTGCATCCAAACATACTATTAGCAACTGGATTGTTCAGACTATTTCCCTGGCCTATCAGGTGCGCGGTTCACCTGTGGCTGTGAGGGCTCATTCTACCAGAGGCATGGGGGCCTCTTGAGCCCTTCTTTCCGGGGCCTCTTTGCAGGATGTTTGTTAGCGGCTGGCTGGGCCACTCCACACACATTCATTCGGTTTTACAGTCTTGACCTTCCTTCGGCACCTGGCACTCGTGCGCTCTCCTCTTAGTCGTGCCACTTTATTGCACACTGGGGCAGGCGGGGTTTTCGGCATGGTTTAGTGGGTATCTCGTTCCCATAGTGTCGTAACCGACGCAGTTCGAGTTCCCTCGAAGGGGAACGTCTCGGGTTACGTATGTAACCCTGGTTCCCCGAGAAGGGGAACGAGACACTGCGTCGGCCCGCCGCACCTCTCTCCCCGCCTGAAGCACCTGCTTCATAGTTTAAGCTAATGATGAGTGTGTACAGGTGTGCTTTATACTCCTCCAGTTATTCCGTCACACCTTACCGTTCTAGCAACAAGCCAATAGGATTGGAGTGATTTCATTCACGTTCAGACCTGCTACGCCTAGAGGCGTTCCCATAGTGTCGTAACCGACGCAGTTCGAGTTCCCTCGAAGGGGAACGTCTCGGGTTACGTATGTAACCCTGGTTCCCCGAGAAGGGGAACGAGACACTGCGTCGGCTCGCCGCACCTCTCTCCCCGCCTGAAGCACCTGCTTCATAGTTTAAGCTAATGATGAGTGTGTACAGGTGTGCTTTATACTCCTCCGGTTATTCCGTCACACCTTACCGTTCTAGCAACAAGCCAATAGGATTGGAGTGATTTCATTCACGTTCAGACCTGCTACGCCTAGAGGCGTTCCCATAGTGTCGTAACCGACGCAGTGTCTCGTTCCCCTTCTCGGGGAACCAGGGTTACATACGTAACCCGAGACGATATTTTGATAAACTGGTGGCCATTTGGTAGGCTATATTATGCAATGAAAACAGAAAAATCCATCAGACTCTTATCAATGTGCTTGAAAGTGGATTTGTGTAATTTGCAAAATCAGCACATATTTAATGAGGAAATAACTCATTTGCATATTTAAAAAAATCGTAAAGTTGGGTGAGAAGCCTATTTAACTGTGGTGCCTGGCCTTAAGAAAAAATAAGGAGGTTGAGGTTTAGGGGAGGGTGCATGGTTTTCCAAATGTCTCACACACACTCACTCAGGCCTACACACCTTTCCGTTTCATTAGCCTATAGTGAACCAGCTGAGCACATGAGCCGGAGGAAGTGGGCGTGATGGTTCTTCACATCTGAGGAAGAAAAGGAACCGAAGTCAAAGCGTCCTTCATTGTATCAGCCTAACTTCCAGAGCCGGGCTGCTTTGTGAAATTCTGCAACTCTTCACAGTCAGTCTGACTTTGACGCCTCAGTGGACGCTCTTATTATTCTTCGAATAACTTAAAAAACATACGCAAAAAAAAACAAAAAAAAACAACAAGAACAGTCTAACCATGGTGCTGCCGACCCTCTGTCAAACTGCCTTCATAGTGCTCCGGCAGATAGAGCCGATTCTGGTGATGGAGCAGCTGGGCAGCACTCTCTTCGACACCGCCCTGCAGATGGTGGTCAGGGACCGGAGTGCCAACGCCTCCTACCCCGATATCTCCAGGGAGGACAGCCAGCAGAAAGCCATGTCGAACTTCTATATGACCTACCGACTCATCATCCTGGTGACTCCGATCTTACCCGCGCTGCTCCTCGCCCGGTTAGGCGACCGCGGCTGGAGGAGAGCCCCCATCGTGGTGCCATTGAGCGGGTACCTGCTGTCCAGGCTCGCCCTGCTCCTGGTGGTCGTCTTCCGCCTCCCGCTGGAGGTGATGTTCGGCGCAGCGGCTGTGTTCGGGCTGTCCGGCGGGTTCTGCGCCTACTGGCCCGGCGTGATGGCGCTGGCGTCTATAGGCTCCACGGCGACTGACCGGTCCAAGGTCAGTACTCAGTTAGGGTTCCCAGATCCACAATTTATATGATCTAAATTTCATTTTCATTATCATTCAACAACAACGTTATAGCCCACTAAGGCTACAGTTGATATTATAAGGATATAGGTTTATTCATTTAAAATGTTACATATCTTTTTGTCAATTGTACATTGTATTGCCTAGCCTATTTATGATTCTTGACCTGCAGTTTTATCGTTCTATTTGCTACCTACTATCTTTATTATTATGCACCAAAATACCAGTGCAAATTCCTTGGATGGGTAAACCTACTTAATAAAGCTGATTCTGATTGTGAACTTTGGTGATGATGTCTGTAAGATTTACATTCTTAAACAAGCAAATAAGTAACTACTGAAACTATCACTAGAGGTAATATTTGGATAATATGACAATATATAAATATGTAGGCTAATGCTTGTCCATCAAGCTGATCCTCTACACAGGTCATAACTCATTATTATTTCCTTTCTGCAACAAGTTGAACTCTACAGTAACAAGTCCTGTGGATTATTTGTTCCGCCACATCTTGTTGGATATCTCACTCACATGTTTTTATTTTTAAATGATTTCTGCAGTTTACACAAGTTTTGTGTATATACTGTGGTAAACATTTTGGTGGGTTGAAAATCTGCATAGCACAGCATTTTGAATGTAGGACTTGTAATGGAGTGGCTTTACAGTGGCATATTGCTACTTTTTCTTAAGTAAAGAATCTTTACTTACAAAATATGCCCTCTTATGCTCTGTGTAATGTAAAAGACACCTAGTATTGATATGCCATTCATGACACCTAACCCATGCATATAAATTATTGGCCTAAACCCAAGCAATGTGTGTCCACGTGCCATGCAGGTGATGATGAGAGTGGAGCTGCTGTATGGGATTGCAGGTCTGGTGGGCAGTTTGGTGTCGGGTCATCTGTTCCAGCTGTATAGCTCCAGTTTGGACCATGGAACCATCTTGCTCATTGTGAGCACATTGCTCCACCTGCTCAGCCTTATACACTCCATAGTCATGCTGCAGGTCAGTGTGTGTGTGTGTGTGTGTGTGTGTGTGTAATATTACAGATGGTATCCTGTTTGGATGTGTGTGGTACTGCAATCCCATAATGTTTTTGAAGCATTTTATTCTGACCTTGCACCACTTTTGAAAATATTTTGGACTGATGCTAAACCAGTTTACTTGTACGATACAAGTAAAAGTTCAGAAACTTTTCATGTAGTGCGTACTGTGAAACTGAAGTGTCACAAATAGAAAGTATCCAGACACTGGAATTAACTGTGGATTTTAAGACAAGATAAAAAAAATAAATAAAGGAGCTAGAGTTTCCCCGGACAATGGGGTCCTGTGGGACACGCATATTCATTCATGTTTCTGTTTGGCTGCTGATTTGTCATGGCCCAGGAAATGCAGGGTTGGACTAGAGCTGCAATGATTAATTGATAAGTTGTCAACTATTAATAATAATCTTTATTTGTAGAGCACTTTTCAAAAACAAGTTACAAAGTGCTTTAACAAGTGTAAAGACAATAATACCCAAAAAACAATAATACAGAAACAATAATATTACAATAATAATACAAAATACACGTTTAAGATAAATATAAAATTAGTAAAATAGAATAAAATAAAGTCAAATAAGATCAGGAAAGTCTCTGCTATAAAAGTATGTTTTAAGAAGGGACTTAAAAGAGTTCACTGACTCAGCCGACCTGATTTCCTCGGGCAGGCTGTTCCAGAGCCTCGGGGCCCTGACAGCAAACGCTCTGTCCCCTTTAGTTTTCAGTCGAGACTCTGGAACAGACAACAGACCTCTGCCCCCCTCTGATCTTAAGGTACGTGCTGGTGCGTATGGGACTAAAAGGTCAGAAATATAACAAGGCGAGAAGCCATGAAGAGCTTTAAAAGTGATCAATAAAATTTTAAAGTCAATTCTAAAACATACTGGGAGCCAGTGTAATGAAGCTAAAATAGGAGTAATGTGGTCATATTTCTTTGTTCTGGTTAAAAGCCTGGCAGCTGAGTTCTGGACAGTCTGGAGTCGATCAATAGATTTTTGGGTTAAACAGGTGAAAAGGCTGTTGCAATAATCCAGGCGTGATGAGATGAAGGCGTGTAAAATGGTCTCTGTGTACTTAAAAGTTAACAGTTAATATTAAGTGAATCACTAACTATTTTGATAATTGATTAAACGGTTTGAGTGATTTTAAATGTGAAATTTGAATAATTTATTCTTTGCTCATCTATGAAAGTAGAGTTATAGACAGCGTCGTGGGGTTGTGGACAAAACAAGACATTTGAGGACGTCATCTTTGGCTTTTGGAAACCCTGATCGACATTTTCACCATTTTCTAACAATTTATAGACCAAATAAACTAATCAATTAATCAAAAAAAAAAATCATCCACCAAGTCATTGATTCAGCCCTAAATTTGACTAAAACGCAGAGCGAGGCAGCAGGATGACTTTAGTGGGTTAATGACCAAAAATAGCTTACAGGTAGACAGAAAGGTTCAGGTCACAGAAGATGGAAATCACTGACAAAGGCACAAAGGATCTGGGCTGGGCTATGTAGTGACTGATAAGGGATCTGAGAACATTTGCAATTTAAAAAAACGGTATGCACCATTTTGCTACTCTTGTTTGGTGACTGTGTCAGACCCACGTCTATAAACACGTACTGCAGTACTGAAAAGGCAGTGCAGTGCTCTGCTTATACAACAGGGTGTTCAAGGCACAACCATTTTTCCGTTTACATAAACTGCTTGCTATGTTTTATCGGTGCTGAACGCAGCCCACGTGAGCAGGTGAATGAGCAGAAGGTCTGGTGACTGCTGGGCTGATGAAGGAAGTGAGCAGGTGAAGGAGGAAGTCTGAAGGCATCCGGTAGACTCTCAGTTAATTTTTGATTTCCAAGGGGCGTTATCAACGGGTGCAGGTGAAAATGCCTCTGGACGCAATTGGATATACCTACAACCAATCAGAGCGGTAACTAGTGTGTGTGGCTGAGAGGGATACAGCTCGTGCAGATGTTAATTGTGTGTGTCCATCTTAATTTAAGGTGAAACAAGTCCCAAACAGAGAGCCAGAGGAGAACCGCCACCTCCTTTATCACACATCCAGAAATGATGCAGTGGAGGTCCCTGCTGGGATCAACCTGCTGAACGTGGCTCTGCTGTTTGCGGCTGCCGTGCTGTACGACGTTGCCGTGGGTGGAGCTATAGAAATACTGGGTGTCTTTGTCCTGAAGCAGCCACTCAGTTGGAGTGCCACACAGGTGACTTTTTGTTCTTTTTGTATGTACAGTATGTGTTTAGCTTCTGTGTTAGTGATTATGATGCATGAATGACAGAATAAAGTGGTTTTTTTTATTGATTAGGTAGGAAATTAGAATCTAATAATTTAAAGTAGATAATAAAATGCTGAATCATTTACACTGAATTGTTAGTTTAATTTACACAGGCTGTATTTATTGCTCAGTTAAATGTAAATTATTGAACTGTACAAAGCTGGCTTACAGTTGATTTGTATTGTGTGTTTTTATGTACAGTACAGTGTGTATTAATTTTTTCAGTCTGTCCAATTAATTTTATTTTCACTTCTTTTTTTTTCTCTTTCTTTCACTTTTGAACATTTTCTGTCTCTCCTTTCCTTTTTATTTCCCTTTCTTCACTTATTCACACTTTCTTTTCTCTTCCTCCAGGTGGGTTATGGGAATGCAGCAGGCTTCACGATTTTCCTCACCAGTTTCCTGGGCGTCATCATGTTACGTCGCTACGTCAGCGACGTGATGCTCGTCCTGATTGGCATGGTGTCATTCGCCACTGGAATTTACTTCATGTCCTTTGTCACGGCAACCTACATGTTCTATCTCGGTAAGACTGAGCATCAAATCATTATGTCTTTCAAGTTTAAATGCTGATTTTTGCTCCTGAGTGAAAGTTGAAGAAACCAGATGGTTAATTGTGGTTTTAAACTTTTCTTTATGGTCAGAACAAACACTTGATGCCAAACAGTGGATCACTTCACAAATCTGAGCAAAAACATTCAAAACAATTATGATAAAATCTTTTTTCAACAAATATGATAAAACTGAGTAAAATCTTTTTTTCACTCCCTTTTCCTCAACAAAATAGATATCTTAATAGAAAAAGTAAGTGATAATTCAATCGTGACTCAAATGAATTAAATCAAACATTTATTGAACATTTGTTATATTGTTATTGAGGAAAATTATATTGTGATAATTATCATGGTTTTATTGTCCAGGCCTAACTCTATATCATCTCTTCCTTACCATTCGACCTTTTTTAAACCTTTCTTTTTGTTATATGTATTAAACTGGTGGACTGAAATAGAACTGCAAGTAATTCATCTGTCAATTACTTTTCAGTTAATGGTTTAGTCAATAAATTATGTAAAAAGGAGGGAAAAAACTCTTACACACATCCTGCCACTTAACTACTACCCTAGCTATCTTTGCTGTCTACCACCTTATCACTTTATTCTGACAAATGTACTAATTGTAAGTCACTTTGGACAAAAGCATCTACTAAATGCCTTAAATGTCCACCCATCCATCAATCGTCAACCGCTTATCCTGCGTACAGGGTCGCGGGGGGCTGGGGCCAATCCCAGCTTACATCGGACGAAAGGCAGGGTACACCCTGGACAGGTTGCCAGTCCATCCCAAAGTTGATCCATTTACAATGTTGTGGAACAGAAGGTTCCACATGCTGCTCATGAAACATCAATCTTTTTTAACATGGTTCATCTTTTAGTGCTCAGCTCGTGCCTCACATGCTAAGTACTCACTTCTTCCTCTGTTAATTCCAAACTAAACAGAAATGTAAAACACATCCTTTCCTTCGCAGAAGGAAAAAGCTAGCAGACACACAGCGCACAACAGCACATGGAAAAGAATAGTCTTGTTTTAAAGCTAGGAGTAGGAGATGGAAACTAAATGGACATTGATATTTTGTAATGTGTCACCTGACACACACACCCTGCTACAGAGAGGAAATGGTGACTGCGTGGCAGTGGTGGGGTATACACAAGGACATTGTGTAGGAATTGAGCGGAAATATATTAATGAGCGTTCATTTCTCCGCAGCTCGCTCGCTCAACCTGTTTGCGCTCATCCCGATGCCAACTATCAGATCTCTGCTCTCACAGCAGGTTCCTGCATCCTCATGTGGTGAGTATCCAAGCTCTGTGTGTGTGTGTGTGTGTGTGTGTGTGTGTGTTGGAGTTGCTATTAAAACCTGTTGCAAAAAGGTTTAAATTTTAAAAGGTTCAGTTAGCTCCAAAGAAATACAGTCCCAGCAGATTTGGGTGAACTCATCCTTTAAATCTGTCAAATTAGTGCTGTATGCAAAAAATAAAGTCACAGTAGAGAATTATAAAATGAAAATATATATTGAAAACATTTATTTTTTCCCTTTAAAACATAAATGAAAACTCATTTCAATCAGTGACACATGGCTTCATTGTTTTATACACTAAAACTGTTGCGTTGTTGTTGTTGGAACTGACATATCAAATATTGTACTAGTATAAAGCGGATAGTGTCAAAGATCAAACAGAAGTGCACGATCACTGTATGTTTGAGTGAGTACAGGAGGAAGTTGTGGAAGAGGAATGACAACATGAGATTTCCTGAAAGTTGAGTGTGCGGTCTGAATGTCGTGGGCAGGTCAGAAAGAAAAAACTGTTTCTTGTGCGACCTGGCTTACTGCCCCTTTTGGGGTCGGTTGACATGTGACTCCTGAATAAGCACAAAGGTATCAGTGCGAGGCTAGCAAACATGCTAAACACTTTATTTCAATACAGTCACACTAGCCTATTGTAGGCTACAGTGTGTTTGGTTTTTTTTGGATCTCAAAGTGGGAAAGTTTAGGCACCTCTGAGTTAATTATTTATAGATTTTGCAATAGATCAAGATCAAGCATTCTTCAGTTCTTCAGTTTCTGATCAGCTGCAGTCAGACTGGTTTATACCAAAAATATGACTCATCATAAAGAGGTTAGAGTGTTATGCTTCATCTCTCTTTCTCTCTCTCTCTCTCTATCACACACACACACACACACGCACACACGCGCACACACACGCACACACAGGTTCGGTTTACAGGCAATTAGAGAAGCAGGGTTATTCATTGTCAGGATTTTCCAGTTTGTGTTTGTTTTGGCATGATGTCTGTTTGAGAAGTGAAGTCAGTGCAACACAAACACCCACCTCTTTTTGCTCTCCACACATGCACACACAAATGCACGGAATGTGGTGGATTTTGTTACCTTGGGACAGAGCCAGACTAGCTGTTTCCCCGGGTTCCAACCTTTATGCTGAGCTAAGCTAGCAGGCTGCTGGCACTAGCGTCTTACAAACCCCATTTCCAGAAAAGTTGGGATATTTCCCAAAATGCAATAAAACAGGCATAACATTTTTAACATTGTTTACATTTATAAAATACAATTATGCTGGTCAGTGAAACTATTGAAAATATTTTTCTTTGTACTTTTGTCGGTTAAATAAAGGTTCATGTTCATTAACAAATCTCAGATTTATTGTTTTGATTGCATTTTGGAAAATAACCCAACTTTTGTAGAGACAGGTATAGACCCTACCGTAAAGGTGTGAGAGTCGCATCAATATTGTTATCTCACTCTTTGCACAAAAGTGAATGTGTATTTCCCAAAAATGTCAAACTATTCCTTTAAAAGAATCTCTGAGATTAGCTTATCCCAAAGGAGAATTTACATGTTTCCACTATGAACCTTATTTACATCTCTTTCCCTTGACCTATCTGTCCTCCTTCCCACCAGGCACCACTCTCACCTGCCTGCAGTTGGCTCTGAAGTTTGCCGGTCTGGCATACATCCCTGCCTTTACTAAGATCTATCAGAGAACTTTGGACTGGTTCCCAGGCTTCGTCTTCACGCTCTCCAGCATCTTTACAGTCCTGGGAATGATACCCATCAGGTAGGATGTGGACGATACAATGTTGCTGGCATTGATAACAATTGATCTATATCGATTATGGCTAATATTTATTTTTTTCAACCAAATAATCTATTTTTAACACCATTTACAATGTAAGCACTTTGTAGTTTGACCACGTGGTTAAGACAAGTTCTTTCTGTCTTTCTTAATTGTTATCTACTTAAAAAGATTGTTCAACATTTTCTGGAACACACACACACACACTGGCTTTACTGGCAAGAATTAGATAAGAGTGTTGCTTTAGCTTAGCTTAGCATAAAGGCTGGAAAGGGGAGGGGGGGCTTATTTTTCTTTCTTTTAGTTACATTTTTACTTGTAAATTATTATTTTTTTTGTTTAAAACAGTGATCAGTGTCATCTTGGGGAAAGGAGAACACAGCACATTTTGGGTGCATGGGGACCTAAAAATCTAGGTTTCAGTTTAAACCAATCTGCTACTTTTTAAAAAGCTGGGTGTACAAATAAACAATAAATCTGATCTATACCCTATTAAGATAAAATCATTGTGTGGGAAAACAGCTATTGTCTCTACATTGTCTACATCCAGTGTTGATATGATGTGCAACCTTGAATGAAAAACAGACTAAAAGACACAAATCTTCTCAAGAATATTTCCTCTCTCCTCCCTCCAGTATCGTCGGCTGTAGATCACCTCAGAGGCGACAGTACGAGAGGATTCCGGTAGACTGATGGCACCGGCACCACCAGCAGTGATTTATAGAGGAGTGAGGACGGGAACTGAGACTTGAAATGGGCAAAAGAAGAACGGTGTCTTAAATCTCACTTCCCTTAATGTTAAAACTATAAACAGGAGTTCCTACAGGCCTCGGGCAGGTTTTTACGTTTGTGTCAGCGTTTTTTATTAAAAAAACAGAAATCCTCTAATGCCCGTGCAGACGTGTGCATGCACGGAGAGGATTGCATGAAGATATCACAACCCAGTTTGACAAAGACTTTTAAATTGTTGAACTGTTGACAGAGATGCAAGCAAACATTATCAACCAAGGGATTTCATCACCCAGTGAAAGTCATAACAAAGCAAATGTGATTTCAAGATAATGTGGATTTGTCTGACGTCAAAAGTCCCTTGTGAGCTCCACCTAAAGAAGGAGAACGGACTAAAAATGACTGACTTCACCTATTTAAACATGGTTCCTGTTGTGAACTGGCTTAAAGTGGATCAAATACAGTTTTAGTGATAAAGAAATATAAAGTTTGACAATATAAATTTCCAGTAACAATCTGCTGATATGTTATAAGTGACATAACTTTTTTACTGGGAATATGTACTTTGGCTTTTTTCTTTTTTTTCTGAAGTGCACACCAACAGTGAGTCGTCCGTAGACTTTGTTGCTGAATTGTAGATTTGACTGACTAGTAGTGAGAGTGTGGCCAAAATAAGTCATACCAACTGTTGCCTTTAGAAAATAAAAACGCTTTGTAAATAGATTAAAATAAAAATAGATGCACGTTACGTTTTTTGGAGAGCGACTAAAGTTACATGCTGCAGGTCAGGAAAGGCTGTATTGGTTAAGGAAATTTTGTTGTTGATATTGGTGTTTTTATCATTTGTATTTTTTATATATTTTTTAAATGTCCTTACATGTTTACGCACATGCATTTGATCATATTTATTATTTCTTTATTTTTTTATAGTATGTGTGATCAGTTCATTTTGCATTTGATTGTAAAACACTTTAAACCACAGTAACCAATGTGAAAGGTAGTTTTTATGGTTTGATAGTCTGACATATTGTTTGAATTTTAGCTTGTGTGTTTTTGTGGTTGACAGCCATATTCACTGCATGAAATTATCACCATATTGTAAAAAAACCCCCAAAAACCTGAAAACTGAACTACCAGCTAGATATAATAGTTCATTTATATCTACAGTAATTATGCATTTAAAACAAGATCCCTGCAAGTTCCTTGTTATTCATGGTACCGATCTGAAGGGAAGAAAGTACAGCTGGCATTATTTTTAATTTATACATTACATTTATTATTGCACTTTTATTTGTTACATCGAAGGTACAGTTTGTTGGTGTAAGGGTTAGAACAAAAGAAATGTTTGCAGGAATGAGACAAGTTGTATGAAAGTATGTAGTTTTTTTTTTTTTGTTTTTTGTTTTTTTTAAATAAACATCTTTGAGGTTTGTTTTGAGGCTTGTAATGACTAACTGTATACAATATATTATGAAATAACTTACATTTTGTAACTTAAAGTGTTTAAAACATTTAACATGTATCTAAACCAGTTCACCCTTTTAAGAACATTATTACTTTAAGCATTTTTATCATAATTACTATTAAAAAACAAATGAGACCTGAGCAGACGACATCAAATGCATTCCTCCTCTTTATTATTGGTCCAATATATCCAAAAACAAAAATCATTTGAGGTAAAGATCAAAACAGCATCAATATACAAGCTTATTTAGAATTCCAACAAGAGGTTATTAACATCCAAATGTACAATAAAAACTCTGAACGTAAACAGTACACACTGGGGGGCAGAAATACAAAAAAGACTGAAGCTAGATTCACACGTTCATAAGTCATCTGACCTCTTAACCTTTCATACAGGTTTGATTGATCAGGTTTGTCCTGTGATGCAAATCAGATTTTCTCTTCATGTGTGTATCTGCAGGAAGAAGACAGGAGGAAAAGACGGGGAAATTTGGCTTGGAAACATTTGATTTGTACATTGTAGACAAACTAAAATCCCGTCTCCCCTGACTCTCCCCTCTTTTCCAGAATGAGACAATAAATATATGTCCCAACCAACCTCAACACCAGACCATTTGTAATTTTTGGCAAGTGAAAGAAAGCAAATGTTTTTGTTGATTTTGTTTCTCAGCAGATATGTCTGCCAGGGGGTGGAACTATGTAGGCCTATAGTGCAAAAATAAATGAACAGGCATCCGGTCAGGGATTTTACAATGACTATGAGTAAGAAGAAGTAATTGATAACTATTGTTAGGATCCCAATGAGCATCAAAAATAAAAATAAAACGTTTCATTACTCACATTTTAGCAAATGCAAGATTTACATTCTTTGTACAAATCCATAAATCCCTTATAAACTGTGTTATTGTAATCTATACTCAATGGAAGCCCAACACGGATCTCCTGCTACATTTCCTATTTCTTGGTTCTTCAAATTACAAATTCTTACAATAACTTGCAGTCTCATTTCTAATATCTGGTGTTCCCCAGTCCAGAGTGCTACTATGAAATGGTTAACAGATTTGGAAACCAAAAACTTTACAGTCTTGTAAAACAATCCAGTTTTAAAAAGGGTGTGCTGTGGTTTGCCTGTAAACAAACTAATTTAAAAAAAAAAATAATTAATAATTTGTGGACCCGCTCACAAAAACACTTCTCCATATGGCTACTAGTGGTCAAAAACTCTACAGGTCACCTTTAACTTTGCTTAGTAGTGATGCATTACCTTTCCTGAAATCCTACTGTTGCCAAGTGAATAACAATGACTCAGTCTGTGAGGGGTGAACAAATCATTTTTTGAAATATCTTTAATTGTGGCGTATGTTCATGTAAGTTGTGACAATTAACATAAAAAAGATGTCGAAAACTCTACAGTATATGTGAAAGAAACAGAAGCTTTGTTTTGACTCTGGAACCTAAGTGGACTTTAATATTTCAGTACAAATATAATAATTTAGCATCAGTGCATTTGTCATCTGTAGGCTGCAGCTGCCCCGACACTGGACCCTCTCACATCCCATCCTGCTGGCTGCATTCAAAATGACCAAAATAAGATTTCAGCGTGTCACCTCGCTTACTTCTGGTAGTAACAAGAAGCTGCTTCGTGCTTTTAAAAGCTTGAGAGGAAAAGATGAAGTAAAAATAAAAAGAGAACTAAGTACTAAAAGCAGCCACAGTCACTTCCTCTCATCGCAGTCTTTTCTTCTTTCTACACTCGCATTTGGCTACACTGTCTGAGGGAAGGCTCAGTGAAATCAGCCTAAAAGACAGGACAAGGGCCTTAAACACAGGAGATTTCTCAGTTTTTAACAAAGGTTCTAGGAGCACAGACCACAAAAAGTCAAATCAGCACCATATTTCTGAAAATCTGCCAGTAAATAAAATGACACTGAAGAAACTCAAACAGAAATTATAACTTCATTTGTTGGAGAAAATTTTTTTTTTTTTACTCTTCATGAGGCTACAACACTGTGGGATCCATGCCACAAACAAACAAAAATTAAAATCACTACTTTGTAAATGTGGTTCTGAAGAAGAAGTCCCTGACTGAGTCCGCCCTGGTCATCATTGGTTCATTGTTTCGCTACTTTATGCTGAGTGTAGTGAGCAAGCAGTACAGCTGAGGATATTCAAAGTAGCCCGGAGAGGAAATAAAGGAATACCGCTAAACTCTCAGCAAGCTGCATTTATCTTCTGTGGTTGAATGCCATTTTGGGAAAGGTCTGAAGTCAGTAAATCAAGTGGGTTCAGCAAAAATGATGCGTTGACGTGTAACAGAGTGTCTCAGACTGGATTTTCCCTTTCCCAAGGCCACATTAGGAACAACTTGAGCCAAAGAAGGAATACAAAAGGAAACAAGTGTGACGCAAAAATGCTGTTGGTCTTACGTACTGCAGTGCTACAACACCTTCTTAAAAATATTTCCCATGAGTCAAAGCTGAGCAAACTGCTCAGTCAGAGGGGTATAACAGAACTAAACTGCAAACCATTTCCACATTACTGAGTCACTTAGTCTCAAGCTAAATGGTTCACTTAAAACAAGTGACTTAGCTTTTAAAGTAAAGGGTATTTCACTCAAAATGTAGTTTTTGCTACATCTGGTTCTGACCAGAAGACCTGCGTAGGCCCGCGCCGTCAATGTTAAGCAGACAGCGCCAAACTCTTTTCTATAAAAAGGTTATTTCAGGTCATGTCCAGCCTTTGAGCCTTACTCTTCTAAAAAGAAGACACATTTTTAGATAATGCCGCATGTTCCCAATACAGTGTTTGTTTCTTTAAGAAATGCTCTATGAGTGTCACTGAGGCAGATTAATGCAAGAAAAAGTAACTTAAAAGTTCACCACAAAAAGTTGAGACCTGATTGTTTTCGTTTGTTAAGTTACAGAAGTCTTCCCCTTCCATTTCCTTTGAAATGTTGTGTGTTTCTCATTGAGGAAATCTGCCTGGAGTTCCCTTTAGCATCCCCAACTGAGTGAAAGCCTTCACTTGAAGGAGAGAGGTGAAATCCCTATAGTAGGTATAAATGTCCATTGTAAAGTGACATTAAGAGAAACCAACAAGCAACTAGTTTCACAAGAATGAAAACGCTTAGCAGGTTAACCACCAGGTGGTGCTGCTATGCTGCACATAACTTATAACCAAATCTGCTGTCTGGATCTGTGCTTAGCTTCAATAACGCGTATGGTCCTTTAAATTAAAGTACACAATTATACTTACAGCTAATATGATGCCTTTAAGAGAGGAAAGAGATGAGTCTTGTTTCAGTGAAGAGTTTTAGTGTTACATTTTCAGAGGCTTTTACAACCTGACGGGGGGGCGGATCTTGGGGTTGCTCTGAATACACACCCGACACAAAATATACTTCTGTATCTGTATCCTGGAACGCTAAAGAGTTCTCCTTCATTTGGCTAAATGTGAACATGGAGCGATGACAGAAAGTGTGAACAGACAGAAAACACGGCCTTCTCAGGCCTTGGTTGAATAAACACAAGCTGCATTGGCAAATTACTGTTAATTGGAAATATGCAGTAGAAAAAGTCCATAGGAACAATGACAAAACAAAAAAAATGTCTGTACATACTTAGGTCTCTCCTCTTTTTTCCCGCTGTCCTTGAATGCAACATTTGTTACCTCCTTCACAGGTCAGATCTCTGACAGAGACGACTCCTCTCCGTACAATCATCTCATGGGAGAACTGGGGCGAAGTCCAGCAGTTCAAGTCTGCTGCCCCGGTTAGTCCTTTTCCTTGGCATGAGAGAGTGTCATAGACAGGGAGACACGAGGAGGTGTTTCAGTTCGTCTCGCTTGTTTTGTCCTCAGTCTGTTTGTCCTGGAGGAGAGTTATGAGTGACTCCCACGCTGCCTGGCACTGCAGAGGGTGGAGATGGATGAAGACAGTCGGCGGAGGCAAAACAAAAAAAATAAATTAGGTGAAATGGAAAGAGGGAGAGACAGAGGGAGAGTAACTGTAACTGCAAAGACTTCCTCTATGGTGCGCTGGTCATTGTATATGGTCTGATTAGCAGTCACGGAACCCATCGGCTATCATCGGACGATAAGAAAAAAAGATGGGCGACCTGATCTCTAGACGTTCGCTAGTCGGACGATAACCGATGGGTTCCATTTTTGCACTTTGGCCAAGCGTTCCACCTCTTTTGCTCTCCACACAGACTGTTTCCCTGCAAGCAACTAAAGCCCGCTCAAACATGACTGGTTAGTAGTAAGACTACAAACCAGAACACCTCCGATTCCAAAATCTTGTCCCTTGCCTACAGATTCTGCATTCTGTTTATAGAGATGAATCCTAAAACAATTCCGATAATGTTTCTGTTCTATTACAACTATTCCAAGTCCTTTCACAGTGTTTTCAAAGTCATTGCAGAGTGCTTTCCAGCAGCTGGCGTACCTTTTCGTAGTGGTTGATGTTTTTGTCGGCCATGCTGGTGAGAAGCTGTTTGAAGTCTTGTCTCTTGTTGCTCTGCCAGCGCTCCCAGTCTGCCTTCAAGTCAGCGTTGAAACACTCCACTTTGTCCTGGCATTTCTCTACCTCCACCGGCATCTATGGTGAGACAGAAAACTACAGCTACAGGGGCCTTCAGGGGACATAAATACAAGACTACAGGTTGCAGGGCTACTACCACAGGAGTCTGGGTGGTGCGGGTGTTTTGGAGGGGAGAAAACAATTTTATTCTCTCAAAAATCTGAGAGTCTTTCTTAGGATTAACAGATATCCAACTAAGAAGCCTAAAATCTAGAAGTGAACTCTGGGAAACTACAGACAATCCCGGAAATGGCAACAGTGAACACAGCAATTTTAAGGCCTCCATGTGTGAAAGGAGCTTCAGATTCAGATGAGAGGAAGGAAGGAGGCTTACTGGCGTTCTGTCCTCCTGTTTGCGCAATATGGCTGCTTCTAGGCGGCCCTCGTACTCCGCCTGGCTCTGGTCTCTCTTCCTCAGAACATTCTGTATTTAACCAGAAAACATCCACTGTTTTGCTTTGTTTTATTTTCAGTGTGACATTTACCGATACTGTAGAATTTCTTAAAGAGACAACATGGGAAAAACATTAAAACAGAGAGATCTGCTGAATCAGGAGCTTGGTGAGGGAC